TAGTAATGGGCGCGTCAATCGTATCTTGATATTTAATCGCTTCGCTCATTCCGCCGGCCCGTATTGTGCCCTCGCTGGCGTTTGGGCTTTTGTGTGCCTTTTGAGGTCCTCGTTGGGGGTTTCTTGGGGGCTTCTTGGGTTTCTGTTGGAGCCTCTTTGGGGTTTCTTGGAGCTCCTTTGGGAGCATTTGGGAGCATCTTGGGGCTTCTGGGCGCCGCTTGGGGCCGAGGGCTCGATATTTCCGTTCCAGTTCCCATTTTGGGCCTCCTCTTTGGGCTGTCCTGGTGCCATCTCGGGCCGTGGCGGGGGCATTTGGGGGGCCTCCTGAAGCCGCTTGGAAGTTATTGGGGGCCTCGTGAGGGCCTTTTGGGGGCCTCCTGGGGCTTCTTAGGGGCCTCTTGGCGCCTCCTGGGGGCTTCTTAGGGCCGAGGGCTCGAAATGTTGTTTCGTGTTCCCCCTCTGGGGCTTCTCTTAGAGCGTTCTTGGGGCCCTCTTGGGCCGTCCTTGAGGCCTCTTGGGCCGTCTTGGAACCCTCTTGGGTCGTCTTGGGGCCCTGTCGGAGGCCTCTCGGGCCTCTTAGGGCGATCTTGGGGGCCTCTTGGGCCGTCTTGGGGCGTCGCGATGCCGCAAAGGTGGAAACGCCCAAACCTTCCCAAAACCTAAGGAAAAGCAATGAATTTTGCCTCTGGGGCCCTCTTGGGAGTGCTCTTGAAAGCTTCTTGGGGCGTCTGGGGGCTATCTTGAGCGTCTTGGAGCGATCTTGTGGCATCTCGGGCCCTTGGTGTACCATCTTGGGGGCCTCTTGGGCGCTCTTGGCTCTTCTTGAGCCTCTCTCTTCGCCCTTCTTGGGGCTCTCGGGGACGTCTCGAGGCCCTGTTGGTGCGCTCCTGGAGCGCTCTGGGGGCTTCTCCCGGGACCTTGCCGGGGTACTTTTCGTCCGGGGACCCCCAGGGGCCGCCCCGCGCGCGATAACTAGAAATACGGTGAACCAGTTACCACAGATCTTAGCGCGTCTCTGGCCCGTTGGGCCGGCGAATTTTCTTGTGAAGTCAGTCGCGTGGCACGGTGCATCATGCATTCCACAGTGGGCACCGCGTTGCCCAGCAGCGGCATAATACATTCCGTATCTCAACCTTCACACTGTGCATGGTGCAGCATACGAGCACGTCATCGGGCTGTCCTGCTGCCATTTGCCTCGCTCAAGCCAATTGGCGTACGGCGCGTGTGAAGTTCCTTCAAAGAGGGTTCTGATAAAGGGGCGTGATGAATGAGTAGAGCTGAGAGTGCTCGATGACGGGAGCCTTCTCTGGGCCTCATGCTCCTTGTTACGCTGGCCGCTGACCCCTTCTGGCGCGCAGTCCAATCCGATACTGTACTTCACTTTGTGGCATCCGATGTTGTATTTCAATGCAACGTGCACGGTTTGATGTGCTCGAGCATTGGTTGGCACGGTGGGGGGGGTGAGGGGAGCCGGGCGAAGGTGAACGGGGGAGGAGGATCAGGCTGTTGGGAGAGTATGGTAGAGCTGGCGTGGTTCCTGTCTGCACTTGTGTGTATCCAGGTGCGCTGCCGCGTCGATCCTGCACGGCGCTTCTGCGGTTACACCCTGCTTGTAGCACTTCGTCAGTCTGCGTTTCGTTGTGCGTATCAGTGGGAGCGTACGTGTGCACATGCGGGTGTGGGAATGCACGTGACTCCTTGCAGTGAAACCCTGGAAGGTCGAATGCAGAGAGGCTTAACACAACTAGGGGGCCACATTCGAACCCTGCCCCTACCCCCCACGATTTCTGGGGGGAGGGCCCGCATGTGGCCCACTAGTAGCGCGTCAATGGTATCTTGATATTTTCTTGTGAAGTCAGTCGCGTGGCACGTGCATCATGCATTCCACAGTAGGCACCGCGCTGCCCAGCAGCGGCATAATACATTCCGTATCTCAACCTTCACACTTAGCATGGTGCAGCATACGAGCACGTCATTTGGCTGTCCTGCTGCCATTTGCCTCACTCAAGCCGATTGGCGTACGGCGCGTGTGAAGTTCCTTCAATGAGGGTTCTGATAAAGGGGCGTGATGAATGAGTAGAGCTGAGAGTGCTCGATGACGGGAGCCTTCTCTGGGCCCCATGCTCCTTGTTACGCTGGCCGCTGACCCCTTCTGGCGCGCAGTCCAATCCGATGCTGTTTTTCCCGGAAAGGGCGCGGGCCCAGGGTTCTCTTTTAGTAGGTAAACCTGTCCCCCGGTGCCAACTTGAGGGAGGCCGGCGAATTTTTTCCCTGATAAATAACGAGGTCGAAGGAGGCCGGCGAATTAAAATTTGAGGATGTCTCGAGCGAAACGCTTGTTTTTGAAATCCCGATCGATAAATCACAGGGTGCGGGCCACTTTTTCGTGTGTTGAGGATGTCTCGAGCGAAACGCTTGCTCCGCAGAGTTTGCCGAGGATGTCTCGAGCGAAACGCTTGTTTTGCAGAGCCGACCGCGACGCGGAAAAGCGCCCCGCGCGAAGGAATTTCGATGATGTCTCGACTAATTCGTTTGTTTTTGTACGATTTCCTGGAATTTTGGCAGGATGTCTCGAGCGAAATGCACGACCCCACCCTAGCACGACCATACCCCAGCACGACCACACCCCAGCACGACCAGACCCCAGCACGACCCCACCCCAGCACGACCCCACCCCAGCACGACCATACCCCAGCACGACCACACCCCAGCACGACCCGACCCCAGCACGACCCTACCCCAGCAAGACCACACCCCAGCACGACCACACCCCAGCACGACCACACCCCAGCACGCACGCCGAGCACGCCCCACGCCCACAGCACGCCCCAGCACGACCACGCCCCAGCACGACCACGCCCCAGCACGACCACGCCCCAGCACGACCACACCCCAGCACGACACCACACCCCAGCACGACCACACCCCAGCACGACCACACCCCAGCACGACCCCACCCCAGCACGACCCCACCCCAGCACGACCCCACCCTAGCAAGACCACACCCCAGCACGACCACACCCCAGCACGACCTCACCACAGCACGACCACACCCCAGCACGACCACGCCCCAGCACGACCACGCCCCAGCACGACCACGCCCCAGCACAACCACCCCCCAGCACGACCACCCCCCCAGCACGACCACACCCCAGCACGACCACCCCCCAGCACGACCACACCCCAGCACGACCACTCCCCAGCACGACCACACCGCCTTGGTTGAGTGGTTGCCTGTCGTCGTGGAATGTTTCGTGGGGTGTCTCGTGGAATGTTTCGCGGGGTGTCTCCTGGAATGTTTCGTGAGGTGTCTCGCGCGTGAATGTTTCGTGAGGTGTCTCGTGGGATGTTTCGTGAGGTGTCTCGTGGGATGTTTCGTGAGGTGTTGCCCCGTTGGGTATCGTGAAAACGTGCCCATGCTCCACATGTCTATATCCCTTTCCGGGTTCGTGGGTCCATCATGTTCACTTTGTGGCATCCGATACTGTATTTCAATGCACGTGCACGGTCTGATGTGCTCGAGCATTGGTTGGCACGGTGGGGGGCTGAGGGGAGCCGGGCGAAGGTGAACGGGGGAGGAGGATCAGGCTGTTGGGAGAGTATGGTAGAGCTGGCGTGGTTCCTGTCTGCACTTGTGTGTATCCAGGTGCGCTGCCGCGTCTATCCTGCACGACGCTTCTGCGGTTACACCCTGCTTGTTGCACTTCGTCAGTCTGCATTTCGTTGTGCGCATCAGTGGGAGCGTACGTGTGCACATTCGGGTGTGGGAATGCACGTGACTCCTTGCAGTGAAACCCTGGAAGGTCGAATGCAGAGAGGCTTAACATAACTAGGGGGCCACATTCGAACCCTACCCCTACCCCCCACGAATTCTGAGGGGGACGGCCCGCATGTGGCCCACTAACAACGAGAGTTTAGTCATGGGCGCGTCAGTGGTATCTTGATATTTTCTTGTGAAGTCCGTCGCGTGGCACGGTGCATCATGCATTCCACAGTAGGCACCGCGCTGCCCAGCAGCGGCATCATTCATTCCGTATCTGAACATTCGCATTTCGCATAGTGCAGCATACGAGCATGTCATCGGGCTGTCCTGCTGCCATTTGCCTCACTCAAGCCAACTGGCGTACGGCGCGTGTGAAGTTCCTTCAATGAGGGTTCTGATAAAGGGGCGTGATGAATGAGTAGAGCTGAGAGTGCTCGATGACGGGAGCCTTCTCTGGGCCTCATGCTCCTTGTTACGCTGGCCGCTGACCCCTTCTGGCGCGCAGTCCAATCCGATACTGTTTTTCACTTTGTGGCATCCGATACTGTATTTCAATGCGCGTGCACGGTCTGATGTGCTCGAGCATTGGTTGGCACGGTGGGGGGGTGAGGGGAGCCGGGCGAAGGTGAACGGGGGAGGAGGATCAGGCTGTTGGGAGAGTATGGTAGAGCTGGCGTGGTTCCTGTCTGCACTTGTGCGTATCCAGGTGCGCTGCCGCGTCTATCCTGCACGGCGCTTCTGTGGTTATACCCTGCTTGCAGCACTTCGTCAGTCTGCGTTTCGTTGTGCACATCAGTGGGAGCGTACGTGTGCACATGCGGGTGTGGGAATGCACGTGACTCCTGAGAGGCTTAACACAACTAGGGGGCCACATTCGAACCCTACCCCTACCCCCCACGAATTCTGAGGGGGACGGCCCGCATGTGGCCCACTAGTAGCGCGTCAATGGTATCTTGATATTTTCTTGTGAAGTCAGTCGCGTGGCACGGTGCATCATGCATTCCACAGTGGGCACCGCGCTGCCCAGCAGCGGCATCATCCATTTCGTATCTCAACCTTCGCACTTAGCAGGGACAGCATACGAACACGTCATCGGGCTGTCCTGCTGCCATTTGTCTCACTCAAGCCAATTGGCGTACGGCGCGTGTGAAGTTCCTTCAATGAGGGTTCTGATAAAGGGGCGTGATGAATGAGTAGAGCTGAGAGTGCTCGATGACGGGAGCCTTCTCTGGGCCTCATGCTCCTTGTTACGCTGGCCGCTGACCCCTTCTGGCGCGCAGTCCAATCCGATACTGTACTTCACTATGTGGCATCCGATACTGTATCCGTAAGGGCTTCGCCCCATGCCGCCGGCCCCTTGTCTCGGATAATGGAGATGCAAAAGCTAAATCATAAGGTCTGGGTGCCGCCGTGAAGCAGTGTCAGGACCTGTTTGTTTTTCCCGGAAAGGGCGCGGGCCCAGGGTTCTCTTTTAGTAGGTAAACCTGTCCCCCGGTGCCAACTTGAGGGAGGCCGGCGAATTTTTTCCCTGATAAATAACGAGGTCGAAGGAGGCCGGCGAATTAAAATTTGAGGATGTCTCGAGCGAAACGCTTGTTTTTGAAATCCCGATCGATAAATCACAGGGTGCGGGCCACTTTTTCGTGTGTTGAGGATGTCTCGAGCGAAACGCTTGCTCCGCAGAGTTTGCCGAGGATGTCTCGAGCGAAACGCTTGTTTTGCAGAGCCGACCGCGACGCGGAAAAGCGCCCCGCGCGAAGGAATTTCGATGATGTCTCGACTAATTCGTTTGTTTTTGTACGATTTCCTGGAATTTTGGCAGGATGTCTCGAGCGAAATGCACGACCCCACCCTAGCACGACCATACCCCAGCACGACCACACCCCAGCACGACCCCAGACCCCAGCACGACCCCACCCCAGCACGACCCCACCCCAGCACGACCATACCCCAGCACGACCACACCCCTGCACGACCCGACCCCAGCACGACCCTACCCCAGCAAGACCACACCCCAGCACGACCACACCCCAGCACGACCTCACCACAGCACGACCACACCCCAGCACGACCACGCCCCAGCACGACCACGCCCCAGCACGACCACTCCCCAGCACGACCACCTCCCAGCACGACCACCCCCCCAGCACGACCACACCCCCAGCACGACCACCCCCAGCACGACCACACCCCAGCATGTTTCGTGAGGTGTTGCCCCGTTGGGTATCGTGAAAACGTGCCCATGCTCCACATGTCTATATCCCTTTCCGGGTTCGTGGGTCCATCATGTTCCCGGGAAGGGCTCTGTCCCAGGGTTTTCTTTTAGTAGGTAAATCTGTCCCCGGTGCCATGCGGGAGGTGGGCCAGCGGAATTATTTCCTGATAATTTTCGAGGTCGAGGGGGGCCGGCGGAATTAATTGGGAGGATGTCTCGAGCGAAACGCTTATTTTTCAGAATTTGTTGAGGATGTCTCGAGCGAGACGCTGGTTTTGCAGAGTTGGGGATGTCTCGAGCGAAACGCTTGTTTTCAGAATACGTCGAGGATTTCTCGAGCGAAACGCTGGTTTTGCAGAGCCGACCGCGACGCGGAAAAACGCCACGCGCGCAGGAATTCCGAGGATGTCTCGCGCGTGCCGCGTCCCGCGCGCAGGAATTTCGAGGATGTCTCGGCTAATTCGTTTGTTCCCGGAAAGGGCAAAGGCCCAGGGTTCTCTTTAGTATGTAAACATGTCCCCGGTGCCCAACTTGAAGGAGGCCGGCGAAATTTTTCCCTGATAAATATCGAGGTCGAAGGAGGCCGGCGAAATTATTTTGGAGGATGTCTCGAGCGAAACGCTTGTTTTTGAAATCCCGATCGATAAATCTCAGGGTGCGGGCCCACTTTTTCGTGTGTTGGGAGGATTCTCGGCGAAAAACGCTTGCTCCGCAGAGTTTGCCGAGGATGTCTCGAGCGAAAACGCTTGTTTTGCAGAGCCGAGCCCGACGCTGAAGGCCCGCCCCGCGCGAAGGAATTTCGATGATGTCTCGACCTATTTCGTTATTGTTTTTTTTGTACGATTTTCCCTGAGATTTTGGCGAGGATGTCTCGAGCGAAATGCACGACCCCACCCTACACGGAACCATACCCCAGCACCCACACCCCAGCACGACCCCCACCATAGCACGACCCTACCCCAGCACGACCCCACCCCAGCACGACCCCACCCTAGCAAGACCACACCCCAGCACGACCACACCCCAGCACGAACACACCACAGCACGACCACACCCCAGCACGACCACGCCCCAGCACGACCACGCCCCAGCACGACCACGCCCCAGCACGACCACCCCCCAGCACGACCACCCCGCCAGCACGACCACCCCCCAGCACGACCACCCCCCAGCACGACCACACCCCAGCACGACCACTCCCCAGCACGACCACACCCCAGCACGACCACACCCCAGCACGACCACACCCAGTCGCACCCCCGTGGAATGTTTCGTGGCGTGTCTGGTTGAGTGGTTGCCTGTTCGTGTGGTGTCTCGTGGAATGTTTCAAAGGGTGTCTCGTGGAATGTTTCGTGAGGTGTCTCGTGGAATGTTTCGTGAGGTGTCTCGTGGGATGTTTCGCGGGGTGTCTCGTGGGATGTTTCGTGAGATGTCGCCCAGTTGGGTATCGTGAAAACGTTACCATGCTGCACATGTCTTTATCCCTTTCCGGGTTCGTGGGTCCATCATGTTTTTTTAAAGATTTCTTTGAATTTTGGCAGGGTGTCTCGAGCGAAATGTTTGCTTTTTCCCGGAAAGGGCTCGAGCCCAGGGTTCTCTTTTAGATGGTTTACCTCCCGGTTTCGACGGCTGTAGGGCCGGCGAATTTCTTGTGCGATAAATAACGAGGTCGCGTAGGGCCGGCGAATTAAATTTTGAGGATGTCTCGAGCGAAACGCTTGTTGTTCAGAATTTGTTGAGGATGTCTCAAGCAAAACGCTTGTTTTGTGTTATAGAGTGTCCTCTCCTGGGGACCTGAATTCTGAGGATTTCTCAAGTGGATTGCTTGTTTTCACGTGCCCAGGTCTTGAGGATGTCTCGAGCGAGACGCCTGGTTTCACGCCTCCAGGTGGCCCAGACAGATGTCTAGCATGAGGATTTGTTGAGGATGTCTCGAACCAGAGGCTTGTTTTCACGTGTCCAGGTCGCCCAGGCGGATGTCCAGCATGAGCATTTGTTGAGGATGTCTCGAGCGAGACGCTTGTTTGCACGTGTCCAGGTTGCCCAGGCGGATGTCTAGCATGAGGATATGCTGACAACGTCTTGAGCGAAACGCGTGTTTTCACGTGTCCAGGTCGCCCAGGCACAGCACAGCCCTCGGCACGGTACATCAATATCGATACCCTGAGCATTGCAGCCTGGCATGTTGCCTGGCACGTTCCGCGGAGCGTCCCGTGGCGAGTCCACCTGACACGTCGCGCGGCGCACGTCCATTGGCACGTTCCGTAGCGCGTCCCCCTGGCACGTCCCGCGGTGCGTGCCCATGGCACGTCCCCTGGCACGTCGCCTGGCGCGTCCCTTGGGACGTTCCGCGGCGCGTCCTCTTGGCATGTTCCCTCTGTCGATTAGTTCTGGGGCAGCTACCATCTGCTCAGGCAGCTCGAGCTTAAGATCCAGATCAGTTCGGTGAGGACTCGGATGCCAGGGAGGACTCGATCCACAACGCTATACAGAGCACAGTCGCGGCATGGCACATCGCAGTTCAGCACGGCCCAGCACAGCACAGCCGTCGGCACGGTACATCAAGATCGATACACTCAACTATGCACCTTGGCACGTTCCTTGGCGCGTTCCTTGGCGAGTCCACCTGGCACGTCGCGCGGAGCGTCCCCTGGCACGTCCCTCGGCACGTCCACTGGCACGTTCCGTAGCGCGTTCCCTTGGCACGTCCCGCGGTGCGTGCCCATGGCACGTCCCCTGGCACGTCGCCTGGCGCGTCCCTTGGGACGTTCCGCGGCGCGTCCTCCTGGCATGTTCCCTCTGTCGATTAGTTCTGGGCAGCTACCATCTGCTCAGGCAGCTCGAGCTTACGCTCCAGATCAGTTCGGTGAGGACTCGGATGCCAGGGAGGACTCGATCCACAACGCTATATAGAGCACAATCGCGGCATGCCACATCGCAGCTCAGCACGGCGTAGCACAGCACAGCCCTCGGCACAGTACATCATCATCGATACATTCAGCATTGCATGTGCCCGTCGCCCAATCAGGTGTCTTTGAAATGTTGCAATGCCTTACATTTCTATATTCCTTTCCGGGTTCGTGGGTCGATCATGTTATAATTTGTTGAGGATGTCTCGAGCGAAACGCTGGTTTTGCAAAGTTGCGGGATGTCTTGAGCGGGAACCTCGTGGGGGGCCAGAATTCAGAGGATGCCTCAGGCGAAATGCTTGTTATCACGTCAGGAATTGTTAGGATATCTAGACTAATTTGTTTGTTTTGCACGGATTTCTTGGGATTTTGACAGGATGTCTCGAGCGAAACGTTTGTTCCCTGAAAGGGCCTGGGCCCAGGGTTCTCTTTTAGTAGGTTTACCCCCGGTTTTTACTTGAAGGGGGCCGGCGAATTTCTTGTGCGTAAATAACGAGGTAGAGTGCAGATTTTTTTGTTTGTTTGTTTTTTTCCCGGAAAGGGCAAAGGCCCAGGGTTCTCTTTTAGTATGTAAACATGTCCCCGGTGCCCAACTTGAAGGAGGCCGGCGAAATTTTTCCCTGATAAATATCGAGGTCGAAGGAGGCCGGCGAAATTATTTTTGAGGATGTCTCGAGCGAAAACGCTTGTTTTTCAGAATTTGTTGAGGATTTGTCTCGAGCGAGACGCTGGTTTTGCAGAGTTGGGGATTCTCGAGCGAACGCTTGGTTTCAGAATTTTGTGAGGGGTTCTCGAGCGCACGCTGGTTTTTGCACGAGCCGACCCGCGACGCGTAATAAGCCGCCCCGCGCGCAGGAATTTCGATGATGTTTCGACTAATTTGTTTGTTTTTGTACGATCTCCTGGAATTTTGGCAGGATGTCTCGAGCGAAATGCACGACCCCACCCTAGCACGACCATACCCCAGCACGACCACACCCCAGCACGACCAGACCCCAGCACGACCCACCCCAGCACGACCCCACCCCAGCACGACCATCCTGCAACACCACTTCGATGATGTCTCGATCATTCGTATTTGTTTTGTACAACTTCTTTGAATTTTGGCAGATGTCTCGAGCGATATGCACGACCCCACCCTAGCACGACCATACCCCAGCACGACCACACCCCCGCACGACCAGACCCCAGCACGAC